CGATTGGATTAGGAAACGATGAAAAATGGCGCGCCGCAGAAACGAGAATTACGAATGTCTTTGCTAGGGTAGAAACGCTATGCTGCCGCAATGGTCTGATAACAATAACACAACGATAACAGCTTGGGGGAGAAGGATAAGAGGACAAGAGAGTAATTTCGCTTTGAAAGAAAGGGTAGGCTAACAAATATGAAGCGTTTTAGGGTAGAATGATAAGTCTTCCGTTTTTAGGGCATTTTGAAAAAGAACCACAGCGAGGCGCGACGCTGGTGGATGACCGAAGCTATTTTGTTTTAATTTAAATATTCTGTTGAATTAGTTTACTTAAACATAAGAAAGACCAGTGTTAACCCCGTGCTTGGCACGGGCTCAAATATATTCTAAATTTTTGAGATTGTATAAATATAATGACAAAATAAGTTTGAAATTGGTGGAATATATATTAATATGTTATTTCAAAAACAAAAAATTTATACAAAATTTATGGTCATTGAGTTAAGTACTAATAAAATTATTTTACTTAATAAAATATTATAATAAAAAATGGATTAATTACATAATTATACATCATTAAAAAATGTCTATATGTCATAATGTCACTTGTCACCTTCAATTAAACTAACTTTATTCTATTTACTTTATTGAAAAATATATGTAGCAATAAAATAAATAACATAATAAGATAAATTTTTTGAAACAAATTATTTAATTAATAAATACTCATATGTGATTAAAATTATATAGTCATTTTTTGAGAAGTAATAAACTAAAATAAGTTGTAGATAGTATAAAAATAATCCTATATGTATGTATGTATGCATATGTATATGTGTGTTTGTGTGTGTGTATATATGTATGTATGTATGTATATGTGTGTGTGTGTATATACATACATACATACATACATACATACATACATACATACATGCATACATACATACATACATACATACATACATACATACATACATATATATATATATATATATATATATATATATATATTACGGAGTATATTTTACAATAGTGAAATATATATTTATAGAATTGTTAAAAAATGGAAAAAAATGTGGGTGCACATGTGGCATATCTCCACCTCATTAATGGGTGAACGTGTGCATTCACATGTGGCATGCCACATGTCAACACTAAAAGAAAATAAACCTCACTTTACATATATATACTCCCTCCGTCCCAATTTATTTGCAACACTTCGAACGACGTGCAAAATATCATCTCTTTTAAAATCACTTTAATTTCAAATTGGTAGAGTAATAAAAAGTAAAAATTGCACCATTTAAAAGTATACGAAAAGCTCTACAAAACAAGATGCGACAAGAATATTTTATTTTATCAAATGGTCAACCAAAACGAGTAAACAAACAAAAGTTATCGAGAGGCCAGAATAGTAAACGTGGCATTCTTTCTGGGACGGAGGGAGTATATAGGATAGGATATAGGATATATAGGATGGATGTTGTTTTTAAAGGCTTCCGTAACGTTTGATTTTGTTTACTCCGATTAACTTATGAACTATTTTTAAATAAATATGAATGTTTGTTTTATTTCTAAATAACATTTTTAAAATAATGTGAATACCTAATTAGTAGCGACCCGATTCGCTTATTCATTTGTTCGAGTTTTGCAGGTTGGGGTGTTACAGTCAGTGTGCTTATGACCAGGGTGGTGTACAACTACAGGGGTACACCTAGCTTTTTCCTTTATAAAGAGTACATTTCATTTAATGGGAATTTACCTACATAGTAGTAAAACATAGTTACTTTTCCAATGTAGTACCATGTATTTTTATTTCCTAATGTAGTACTATTGGTCATTTTTCAAGTAAATGTCGAGTATCATTGGACTTTGTTCAAATTAAATGTTCACCATCACTAGACATTATTTCTACCACTAGACATTTTTTAAATGTTATTTAGAGAATAAAAAAAATTAAGTACTACATTGAAAAATGACATATGTTTTAGTATTATTTACTGCAAATTTAACTTCATTTTACTCTTTTTTACCCCCACTCTCCACTGTTCAAGCAGCATTAGTATTTAGAAAAATGCTAGGGGTACACCAAAAGGTGTACCCCAATTGTCCCCCACCCCTCCTTGTCCATAATAATTGGCAAGAGATTCAAAAAAATTAAAAAAATAAAAATCAAATAGAGATGTGTGGAGAAGAAGCATGTGGTGTACAATTGGGGTACACCTTTGGTGTATCCCTAGCATTGCTTTAGTATTTAGTAGTGAGACCGTTACCACTCCATTGCCAAAGCTCGTAACCTTTTCCAGTTAAGTCAACTGTACCTTTTGTTGGAATGCATGAGTTCAACCTTTTCTGTGTTGTTTAGTGTTGACTCACAGGTTTTGATAATTGACAAACACAATTTATTCAAGTCAAGATTAAAGTGCTACAACGACAATCACGAAGACTTGAAGTGTCATTCCTTGAAGTATTCAAGAAGGTGCACAGGATTTTGTTGAAGTCCGAGACGCGTTCGGAGCGCCTAACGGAGGACTCGGAGGAGTAGAAGATTTCCGAAGACTTTTTATTTATTTGAGTCTTAGGAATTATTGTAAGGATGACAAAAATATCTTCTCTCCAAAATTATTTTTATGAGAGTCAAAATAAAAATTATACTTATTTTTGGAGTCAGTTGAAAAATCTTTTTAACTGTTCAAAATAGTTTTATTGAGTCAGTTACAAAAAGTGTGTCAAACATTTATCAAATATTTATTTTGATATATTTTTGGTAAGGAAAAATATTTTATTCAAATATTTTTCGTGTACATCGTTTGACACACAAAATAATTTTTGGACTCACTTTTACTCCCTTATTCAAATTCATTGAATAAGAGGAGGAGCGTTCTCTAATTCCCGTTGTCTCAAACAACGAGTGTTATGCCAATTTGCTCTCCATCGCAACTGGCTTGGGCCCTTTGTGTTTTGCCCATTATTTCTTTTGGTAATCGATTATATTTTTCTGTTTAATCGATTAACTGTCGTTCGCATTCCATTAATCGATTATTCCTCTTGTTTTAATCGATTAGTCCTCTCAGAGCCTTCTAATCGATTAATCCCTTTGCATTAATCGATTATTTACGCGTTGAAGGAACTCTGCGCAGACTGCATTAATCGATTATTGACACTGCATTAATCGATTATTATGCTGCATTTTTCATCATGGCTTCTTTTCTTGGACCAACGGATATATTCCTTCAACCCCTTTATAAACCTCACTCCTTGGTCATTTTTACCATGTACAAGCACTCCTAAACTCCCCCATTCTTGAGGTGTTAATCCTCCATCAATCATTCCTCAAATTTATATTATTTTGAGAGAAAATTATATTTTAAAGAGAGTGTTCTTGTCATCCATTAGAGCTTTAATCTTTTCTCTTATCTACTCTTTTGAGAGCTATTGTTGAGAGGTTGAAGAAGATTGTTCTTCTTGTTGTTCAAGGCTTATGTGATTTAAGTCTTGGTTGTGAAGTCTTGTAGAGGGCATATCTACGAGCGGTTGTGTCGAGGCTTGTGGGATTCAAGTTCTCGAGTTGTAAACGGTTTGTTAAGCACCCGTAAGCTTAACGAAAGTAGTGGTAGCTTCGAGAGAGTCTCTCGGGGAACTGGACTAGCCACGAGGTGGTGAACCAGTATACATCGGTGTGTTCTTTCCCTTCTCTATTTTATTTCCGCTACACTTACGTTTATATTATTAATCCTGCGAAAATCGGTAAACATTCTCAACAACTCTATTCACCCCCCCTCTAGAGTTGCACGCCTTGTCTAACACCTTTCATTCTCAGCCTTGCTATTTTGGAGACTGATGGGGCCATCTAATATTACTCATCCCATCAGTCACGCCCTTTCCTATTTTAGATATATGACCACCCATTTTTAGTTTTAATACATTTACTCCCTCCGTTCCTAAATATTTGCAACACTTTTATTTCCGAGGTAAAATATTAAGTTTTTTCAATTCATTTTATTTACATATTGGTATAGAAATAAAAAATAAAATTTACATATCAAAAAACTAAATGAAAAGTTCTTCAAAATAAGAGGTGTTAATAATATTTTATTTTATCAAATAACCAATGAAAACATAGAAATAAATAAAAATTCCCGCAACTACTGAAAAAGCAAATATTGGAAATATTTTGGGAGGGAGTGAGTATTTAATTAGAATTGGCATATTGGACACTCAAGAAAATTAAAACAAGAAGTAATGTTATATGAGTGACTGCAGCGCTAGTCAAGGTCGTTGTATCCATATCAAGAGTAATAAGTGTGGGTGATTTTAGTGTTATCGGTTTATTTTTATGTAATTGGATTTACATAGATCGGACAAGAATTTTAATAGACGTTGTCAAACAAGTTAGGAGGCGCGGAGTGCGTGCTCATTCAACGATATTACAAATTCATTGCAGGGGTCCGGGGGCGGCAGCCCCCGAGTAGCGGGGTCCAAGGGGCGGCAGCCCCTGGCGGGGTCCAAAACGGTAAAGGAGTCCAACGAGTGGATAACGTCGAAATTTACTCCAAAAGCCGCAGGAACTTCTCGCGCTTCTTCTCCGCGCGAACGTATGCGTACGTCTACGCGAACGCTCATGTCCGATCAAGAAATTTTCGACTCTATAAAATAGAGTCTCGTGGTATGGATTGAGCATAGATTTTCGAGCGCTTGTTTTTTATTAACGTCTTATCTGATTGAAGTATTTCGTATACCCCGAAATAATTTGGATCTGAAAGCGTTTCGTACGCGATTCGTTATACTATCGAGTTCTTCGTTTAACACTACTTCGCAGTGTTTTTCCTCATTGAAATCCAACAATAATTTCATTTTACTACCATACGACTAATACTCCATTCGTCCTGATTTAGATTGTCTGTTTCGATTTACGATCTTTGAGTGAATTTGCTTTCAATATAATCTATTAGAGATTTGGATCGGAATTAAAAAATAAAATTAATAAGAGTATTAAAAAACTACAATAAAAAGACATTATTATATTTTTTATCAAATGAGTAACCCAAATAAAATAAGAAATTGAATGAAGTTTTAATTTTGTACATACGATACTAGTCAAGGTGATCGTGTGGTCTGATTGACAAGAACATTGCGGCGTACTGTCTAAGGCGGTGGTCGCCGCCATTGTCACCAACGGGCGCCGTCACATTCACTACCTGACCTGTCCTCCTCATCCTGTAACGTCTCCATGCCAACTGAATGTTAACAGACGCCCATGTCCTCCAGTTGGCAGAATAATACCGTACGGTCCACTTGAGCCTCTCGTTTGCAAAATTATACCTGAAGTGGTCGGTGATGAAGCGGATATGGTTCGCGTCCAGCCCAAAGGCTTCTATGGGGTCAATGCAGGTGAATGTTGCAGAAGACGCCGGAAGCCGGTCGATGAAGGGACGCCGTAGACACCATGACAGAAGTTCATCACCTAAGAAGCCTCCTGGCTCAAGAATGCTTGTGCCCATCACCCCTTTGCTAAGATTTTGGCTACTTTTGGCACGGCCCCGGACTATGAAAACCATCCGCTGCACTGGATCTCCTTCTCTTATTATCTGTTTTCCGTGAAGTAATATTGGTTGAATGAATAAGCTCACGGATTTATTATCTGTATAAAGAACTTTATGCATGCTTCAAATGTTTTTGATGACATAGTTTACAAAGCTGCAATATGCTTTGCACGTACCTTCTCGTCTTTGGAGAATACTAGGGGCTTAATGCGATCGCAGATGTTGTCAAGAATGAGATCATCCAAATTGTGGAAAAAAGGAACCTGCAATTATTCATACTATGGAGCGAGAGGAAATAGTAGCCAGTTCAAGAAAAAGTAAATATATATATATTTAAGTAGCGCTTTAGAAGTCGTCGGGCTTAAATTTGTACGTTAGAATATATAAAAATCTTTCGTGGACATGGCCTACAACCATATACAAACTTGAGTTTTTGGTTGATTCGAGTTGGTTCCTTGACATCGTAATGGAACCTTCCTTAAAAGTAATCCCATAAGGGAGGAAAACTCATATAAACATACGTACCGTTTGATGTAGTGTGGTGTAGTTTATGTGATATTATTGTACGTGCTATACCTTCTTTATGAGATCAAGGCACAAAAAGCGTTTGATGTCTCTTCGGAGACCTTCGGGCAAGTCTTTAATCAATTCCATCTCGTCTTCACCCCCGCCCGTGGCAGACCATCTCTGGCGTTCAAAATGGCGCACTCTCTGTCTCAGTTTTGACGGAAGTTGTCTTCTCTTCATCCACCACTCCATATCTCTGCACCTCAGTTGCATTTTTCGCTTCTTTGCCATCACCGCATGCAAAAATACCTATATATAATAGCACATGATCCAACTCTTAGCTAGCTAGCTAGCTTCAGGCCTAGCCTAGCACATCAAAAGTATACTATCATCCCATGTAAGTCGTCGTCATTGTAAACTGTAAGCTAAGCAAGCAGTTTTAATTACCTACCTGAATGTTTCCAATCAATAGGGTGAACAGCATTAAACCACTAAGCACATTCCATATGCTGAAAATGACTTCCAACCAGTTGCTTGTTGGTTCCAAATCATTACCAAATGTGCTGTGTATTAGTGAAAAAATTACAATGGAAAATCTAAAATACTACCCTCTAATAGCATGTTAGCATTTGGTGACATCGATAAATGAAACGCGTACTCAATTCAAATGACTTGGCATTTTATGCTCATCGCTCCCTAAAAAAGAGATATTTTTTAAAAGTGTACAACAAATTTGGGATGGATGGAGTCAATTGTGTTAATTACCTAAGAGTCATGAGTCCCCAGAAGATGGGGTAAAGAATTTTGACAGCAACAGATTGGTTGGAAACTACAGGAAGAGCCCATTTGTATATTCCATAACCAAATGGTCCATTAACATCCAAGCAGGACAGGGGGAGATGACATGCCCTTTTTTTCCCAGCACATTTCTGCGCAAGGCACGCAGAAACTCGTTGAATGGCAAGTACATACCAGCATCCCCCGGCTAGCTGTAAATTTCAAAACAAAAAATTTATGAAAACGAAAAACAAATGGATGCAATATATCATCATCTCCGATGAAAACAAGAAAAAAAACAGAGTATATATGGGATTAAGTATTTAATTACATGGGCCGCCATGAAGTAGGTAATAAGATTGAGGGCAAAGCCCCACCAAATGGTGCCAAAAATGTAGCCTGTGACCTTCTGCATTCTTCTCATTAAGGATATGCTGTGGTAGACTCTTGGGAGGAATTGGAACAAGAAGATAAGTAGAAGAATGGTTATTATCAGCTTCGCCTGCTCTTCTCTGATCAATCTTGGTACCACCAACCAAAACACTGCCTGCGTGTATACATATATCACAATCATCAAGGGAACATTATTTTTATCGGCAAGAATCTTTTGACCTTCAAACCCAGTTGTTGGTAAAATTGATGATTCCTCTCTCTAACCCACTGCACCCTACCCCAACCCTCCCTAAGAAGCCGAAATGGGCAGCCCAAATCGACATTTTAAGGGGGTGGGGCATGGGGTTTTGGGAGCTAGGAACCATGAGCATAAAATGATCTTGGTTTCAAGGTCAAAAGATCCGTTCTCTATTTTTATTGGTCAACTATTAACATTTTCTTCTTCTGTTTTCTTTTTTTAATAGGGAAAATGCTTTCCTAATGTATCTTCTCATGTCTTAAATTGTGTCCTTATTCATAATCCATCTCTAATACCCAAATTTCTTGGGAGCATTAGATAATACTCCCTTCGTCCCTAAATAAAGTTCCATTTTTGACTTTTTAAGGATTTAAGGGAGGATATTTTGGTGTTGACTTTCCAAAAATACCCTTGATGTGATGTATTAAAGTAAGATGTGATAGGTAGATTATTAGTAAAAAGGTATGATGTGATAGGTAGGGTATGAAAAAGTAAGGGGTAAAAGAGGTTTTTTAAGGGAAAGAAAAGTTTATTTAGGGACAAAGAAAAAACGAAAGAGGAACTTTATTTAGGGACGGAGGAAGTAATTAAATGTAGAGGGTGTAAAACTTGAACAAACATGAATTATGATACTCCGTAGAAACTTAGTCTCCAACAGTCAACCTAACATTTTCAAAAGAAGAAATTAAATGTTTGTAATTTAGGAGAGTTAATGACTTCAAAAAGTACTCACCTGAGGAATTGGAAGAATGACAAAAGCGTCGAACCAGAAGCCATCGAGCGAGCGAACGTAATGGGAGGCAATCGCGCGCGCGTCCCAAACAAGTTTCCCGCAGCCGACCACCAGCGACTCCCTGGACACGTAAGCCAGCCTGAACTGCAGCCAAAGGTGGCAGATGTGCACGGCGTCGAGGCACGTGCGCAGGACGGTGACGACCGCCGCGAGGCCGGCGTCCATGTGCAGGCGCGGCGACCCCTCGCGGCCGATGGATAAGGCATAGAAGAAGAGGGGATCGATGGCCAAGGCAAGGCCACGTGCCAGCAAGAACGCCCGGTTCCACCGCTGCACGCGCTTGCTGCGAGGGTCCAACACGCGCCCGAAAGGTCCAGACAGCTGGCGGTTCCGAGCGCTGACTAGGAGTGACGACGAACCGGGCTTGTTTCTAATGGGAATCAGAGACGAACCGGCACACGCTTCCCACACGGGCTGGTGCGCGTCGTCGCAACTAGTGGAGTGGAAAACCGGAACACCCACTTGCGTGCAAGCATAACACTCCGTCCACACCGCCGCCGTGTTTTCCTCATAATTGCCGTCGCCGGCGTCAGGTTCCACTGATTTTCGTCGTCGCAGTATACTAACAACCCACCTTCATCAAGTTTATTAGCATATTTACATACATACGTAAACACTATATATCAGAAAATCTACCTATACATATGTACATAAGTTATGAGAAATTAATATATATCAAAGATATACATACATGAGACCTTAGCTTGGGAAAGAATTGAAGCTGTATTATATAAATAAGTTACCGTAGTCCAAGAAATTAATCAAATTAAAGAAATGAGACCTTGGGAAGGGAAAGTTGAGGCTTGGATAAGAGGGCATCTTAATTTAGAGGGGAACCATGTATGGGAGAGAGAATTGAGGATGGTATATGATAATTTTTGTAATAATGCTACTTATACATCATTTTTGTACACCAGTTACAACGACACTTTGATAGCTTATACTTACATAAAATTATGGTGTACAAAATGGTATACACCAAATGATATTATTAGGAATATTAGGAGTATTATTTTTTTATTGCTTTCTTATTCTATTACTTTCATAATTGTTACGGAGTATTTATCGTGATTATAATTCTTTCTTGCATTCTTTACATAGGCATGGCCGGTCCTGGGGTAAGCATAGAGGATTGCCGCCTAGGACCCATTTCATAAGGAGGCTAATAATTATTTTTTCTTTAATAGTACTAATAATATATTATTGTAAAAATAATCTGTTTAGGGTTTTAAGCTTTAGATTTTAAGTAAATACATGAAGTACAATAATAATATGACGCACTCAATCATTTTAATTCATCAAATGATATTGCTCTTTTCTAAATATAATTATAAGAGAAGCCAATTTTTTTAATTGGCCTAAGGCCCATTAAATGCCAGGGCCGGCCTTGTATATAGGAATGGAATCTTATTATTTATTATGACTAATTATTATCAAACTGTATCATGGTAACAGATCAAAAAATTTTCCCTCTCCAAAATAACAATGTGCGTGCTTAATAGCCATCGTCGATCCCGATGAGCGTACCTAGCTAACAGCCAGCGTCCCTTGTCCTTTTTTTTCTCCAATTGTGAGCTTGCCTAGCAGTCGCCTTTTTTTAATTTCTCTCTCTGTCCAACAAAAAAATCGCGTGGGTGCGTGATAAAAATGAAAAGATGCATTTATTTGTGTTTCTTCTAGAGTTCGAGAACATGGAAAATGACAGACCAGCGAAGAACAACTCACAAGGAGAAAAAAAGAAATTTAACACCCTCGTTCCGATCGCCAAAACTATCCTTGGAAAAGAACTCATCAATAAATATTCTTCCAAGCTTGTTCGTCATGCAAGAAGATCTACGTCTCTACATTGGCTATCTCAAAATTTCTTCCGTCGGCTTCATTCTAGTACATGTGCTTCAAGCTGCTTCTCGGTACCAATCATCAGTCTACCGGAACATTAAGAATGTTAAAAATATAAGGAGTATTATATTATTCTTCATTTGTTGTTTTTTAGTATTCTATACTCCCTCCGTCCACAAATAAAGTTTACGTTCACTATTCACAGGGTCAAACTTTATTCACTTTGTTGGCCTATTTTTGTCACCCATTTGATAAAATAACATAGTCATGTCACCTCTACTTTTGTAGATTTTTTGATATACAGTAGTTTTTTAATATGTAATTTTTATTTTTCAATTCTACACCATTTTTCATATAAAATGATTTGAAAATAATTTCAGTCAAACATCGTAATGCGTAATGTAAAGTTTATTTGTGGACAGAGGGAATAATTATTATCTACCATGAATCCATGATTATGATTCTTTTTACTTTAATCTATTTATACGTAGAAATCAAACATTGAGTATTCAATGAGACATATTATCAAAGGATAAAGCTATTTGTACCCCAACTTTTATACCCCACTTTGTACCCCGCAGGTTTGCACCGACACTTTGTGTTGGTGTAAAACTAATTTTTGTTAATGCACCGACACTTTGTGTCCGTGTAAATTTTTGTTAACGCACCAACACTTGTGTCGGTGCAGGGGCGGACCTATGGTTGTGCAAGTGGGGTCAATTGCACCCACTCCAAAAAAAATTATTTATTAGTAATAAGTAATTAGCTATTATATGTAGATTAAGGGCATTCAAGAAGAGTATATTTATATGTGATTAGGTGCTATTTTTTTGAAAATGAACAGAGAACACCTTTTATAATTGTGTAGAATTTTATGTTTTAATTCTTTTAGATTTGGAAAATTGATTTAAATTTAATTACGAAACTTAATTATAAAATGTTCAATTTTTTGAAATGTATGAACAAGTTTAATTTTTTTAAAAAGAATCCTAAAATATACTTAGTATTTGAAGAAATTTCTAGAATTAATATTTTAGTTGCTACATACAACTTGCAATATTTATCTCAGAATGCTATTTATTGATACTTTTTTACCTTGTTTTAAATTTATTGCTATACAAATATCAACATTTTCTTTTGAAATATTTGCACTAAATAGCACATTGGGAAGAATATCAATAATGTCCAGTGATGTCGAATATTTGCTTGAATAATGACTAATGCATAATGACTAAAAGTGTTACATTGAGAAGAAAAACACATGTGATGCTATTTGGAGAAAGTTATTATGTTTTAGTGCTATTTAAGTAAATTTCTCTTTCCTTTTTGTGCACAAAATGTGAACCCACTCACCGAAATTCCTGGGTCCGCCACTGTGTCGGTGTAAACAATCAAAATGTTTATGTATAACTGCGGTGTACAAATGGGGTACAATTTGTGGTGTAAGTGTAGCATGACCCATTATCAAATCATATGAGGTCTACACCTAGCTTGATACGGAGTACTAATTATTGAGCTGCCAATCAAACAACAAATGGGTATGAGTGGTGGACGTCATTAACCGCGCGCGCGCCCATAATGAATTATGAGAGACAGTTTGAGTTTTAAATTGGGAGGTAGAAGACTATTTGCAACAAGAAAACAAAAAAATTACCCCTTGTTTTAGTGTATTTATCTAATTTGATTTTTTAAATTTAAACAGGATGAATTTTTAGTTTTAATTAAACAAAAAATGTAATGTATATTAGTATATAAATGATTTTATTAAACTTATCTGGTTGAAAATCTTTAATTTTTTGTATATGCGATATAAATTGAGAGTAATTGAAGCTTAAATTTTATCCAGTTTGATTCGAAAAATTCAAATCGAACAAATACACTAGAACAGAGTTAGTACGAATGATTTAATTTAAAAATTAGAGGAACAAAAAACATATTTCCTAAATTTTATAGGGCCTAGGAGTATATGTCACTCTAAAAAAATACTCCGTATGAGATGAGGGATTAAAAATTGTGCAAAGAAGAGCAAATTGATATAAAAGATTGCGAGAGTTTGACTTTTTTGGTCAAACTATGACACTCTTTGACCGCAAATTATGGAAAAAGTATATTTAGTTATAATGTAAATTTAGTAAACTTGGGTTTATTTTAAAATATAATTTTGAAATATTAAATTTTTATAATGTTTAATGATTTTAAACTTTATTTAATTTATGGTCAAAGAGAGCCATAGTTTGACAAAAACAGTCAAACTATAGCAATCTTTTAAGGACAGAGAGTATATGGAATAATTATTTTTAAAAAGAAAATAGAAATTCATTGAGAACAAACAAGAAATACTATATACAGCTTAATTATTTCTTTTGGGTCCATAGGAGTATGTCTGCATGCTGTGTCTGTGGGGTATTCAATTATTTATTTTTCGGTACGTGTTTTGTTGTTAAGGCAGGTTGAATTCGTACGCTACGGAACAGACCTCAGTTGATGGTTATATTCCTTTCCTAGTCATTGTAAATCTCCATGATTGATTTTTTGTTCACTTCTTATTACTGAAACCACCGCCTAGAGTCCCATATATTTTTCTTACAATAAGAAATAATTTTTTTATGTAGTTTGAAATATGTAAATTTTATCAAAGATTTTTTATTTTTGCATTAATTTATAAATACAATAGTTTTAAAGATCACAAAATTTTACGCGTCGTTCAAATAGGGAATATCAGTCAAGTCTCAATATCAGTTAAATACGGAGTAACAATTAATTTTTGGAACAAAAGGAATTTATATTAACGGCAACGACTCCAACGAGTGCACCAAAGGAATGTATATTAAAGGTATCTCGATGAGTCTTCTGCAAAGAGAAACTACTCAGGTTCATCCATTAAGAGAAGGGGGTTCATTGACTTTGTGTCATCTCTAAACATTCCATACTTTTTTCGCGACGCTAGAAGCAAAGCGGAATAAAAGAGTTTTCTTTGCAACAATTAATCTGGTACAAACATTGCATTTTTTTGTAATTTGTTGATTTGAAATGGAATGAGGATAAGATGACATCGAATTAAACGCTTTCATGAGCTAGAAACGGCAGTGCAACTGAGGAATAATTTACAGTCGGATGGGATGAAGAATCGACAGATCCAATAACATTTTGCCGTAAACGCTTTCATTCGGATTCATCTTCAAAATCTAAGCCAGAGATGGTCATCTTGCCAATGTTCACTGCAAAAGGACATTTACTTTATAAGCAAAAGGTCAATGAATGTTCGTTCCATAGAATATAATAATTGTATTTTTAATTTTTCTAATGTCTAACTTTTTACTATCTTGAACGTCTCAATGTATAGTAATTGGATGGACTGTGACATGTGCTCTCTCATCTTGACATCAAATGCCACAAACAAACATGGAAAAGGAAATAACGCATTTGAAATATATTAGGGAAACAGAGTAAATGAGTGAAGGATATCCGTAAAATAACATAGATGACGAACAGGCAGGCATTTAGGAGATCTCATTTTTCACTGTTAGATACATATAAGGTCAATCCATTCTACAAGAGACATAGTATTCGCTAGGTTCTTTGACTGGTGTTGCACAACAGCATGTACTTGGACATCCACCCTATAATCTCCCGAGGAGGGAGGCTAGCTACCTAGTCGGAGCAATTCATAAAACCAAATTGCACTGCTAGTAGTAGAAGGCAGTTTTTGCTACTTCGTGACTTGTTTCATGGTGAAAACTATTTTTATATACTTCACATGTAGTATTAATTGTAAAGCGTTCTTGCAAATTTTCTCAACTCGTGGTTAAGAAAAGTACAAACTAATGGTAGTCAACCTGAACAATTCATGATTGAAATCCAAATCGAAGAACTGAATAAAAAAACACCATAAACGGCCCTAGTTAAAACAACAATTACAACAACAATCTAGTGGGATCCCACGAGTGTAGGGTCTGTGGAGGTTGTGCGTACACAAAGGTTGCCTGTACTCAATGTTGGGGTATTTATGAATAGCAAACCACAACGGAGAAATCAAAACGGAGAAAATGGAACACAAGATTTATAGTGGTTCGGTCGGCTGACCTAATCCACTTTGCAACTAGGGTTTTTATTATTCAAGTGCTCACCGAATTACAAGTACATAGATCGTTATTTATGAAGACTAAACTAGGGTTAAAAACTTAATCCCCAAGTTAGGCCCAAGCCCACATAGAGAATTAGGGCAGGCTAAATTAAAAACCTAATTTACTGCCATATGAGTCGAACCAAGACTAGGGCCGGCTGCCCTTCTTGGTCGAGCCTCCACACTCAATTTGCCCAACAATCTCCCACTCGGAGGCTCGAACAACGCCCCTTAATCTTCATCATCAATAACTCTTGTAATCTTCCTTTACCACTAGTTGCAGCAGCCTTCTCTTCAGTTTTCTGAAGGCCTGTTGAAGCTTCAACTCATCAGTCACAACCCGTGACTCGTTCTCTTTCTCTGCCAGCTCCGAGTGTGACACATCTATCACTCTCATGGATTCTAAGACAAAGTGAGAACCTACATTCTCCAAACCAAGCAAATAGTTAACAGGAGAAACTTTCAACACTGACTGGTTTTCCTAACCCACTGTCGAATTGGGACTGAAGCTCCCACTGTCACAAAATTCCCTGACTGTTGGAACTTCCAAGCTAGTTCATTTTGAATCTGTACTCTTTCTCTAGGTTTCTCCTTTGCAAAGGTAACCCTCTTTAGCACATGAGATTCTTTGAACCGGATCTTTTCTTTTACCAAACCTGGACTTGCTCCTTCTGGAGGTATCTCGACCATATATAACTATCCCCTTTTCTTGCCACGAGCAACAACAAGATTTCCTTTGACCACCTTCCACTGTCCACCACCAAATTTAACATCAAGACCCGAATCATCCAACTGCCCAACTGAGATAAGCATCCTCTTCAAGCTTGGAATGACTTTGACGTTTTTCAAAGTCCAAGTGACTCCAACTGAAGTTTTCAAGTCAATATCCCCCATGCCCGTAACATCCCGAATTTCATCATTACCAAGTCGTACTTTACCAAAGTCCCCAATCTCCAGATTCTTTATCATCTTCATGTTGTGTGTGGCATGAACAGATGTACCAGAATCCATCACCCAGGAATCTATACTACTCTCTACGCTACAGATTAACACATCATCACTATTGTCTGAGCAGTATTCACTTCCTTTTTACCATTCGGACAATGACTTCTAAAATGTCCTGTCTGTTTGCAATCCCAACAGACAATTCCTTCCCGATGCTTAGACTAACTCTTGCCTCTACCACGGTTGCTTCCGCTTTCATTCCTTCTTCATCTACCTTCAGTACTCAACAGTACACTCGAAAAATCCCCTGAACTTCTGCATCTGATGTCTTCACCTAGAATCAAGTCCCAAATTCCTTCAAAAGTAAACTTAGTAGTACCAGATGCACTACTAACTGCAGTCACTGTTCCAGACCAAACCAACTGTCAGGCAAAGAAGATAAAAGCAGCAACGCCTGAAGTTTATCATCAAACTTAATTGAAACTGATCCTAACCGAGTTATGATCGAATTAAATTGGTTGATGTGAATGGTAACTGAAGCACCCTCCCTCATTCTGGTGTTAACCAACTGTCTGATCAAAAACACCTTGTTCAATGCTGAGGGTTTCTCGTACATATTTGACAAAGCTTTCATTAACCCATGCGTAGTCGTTTCATTGACTATGTTGAAAGCAACACTCTTCGCCAATGACAACCTGACCACTCCCAAAGCTTTCCTGTCCAAAATCGCCCAATCTGCATCACTCATCTTTTCTGGCTTTTTCCCTGATAATGTTTGATATAAGTCTTTCTGATAAAGAACATCCTCGATCTACATCTTCCAAAACCCAGAATCACTTCCATCAAACTTTTCAATCTTTATCTTTTCATCTGCCATTGTTTCCATACACGGCTGAGAAACTGATCTGAGAATGAAAAAACCAATAACAGCTAACCTTGGCAGCGGCTATTTGGAACCCTAGTGGCAGCAGCTAAACAAAACCCTAACAGCAGCGACTGTTCACAACGACGACGCAGTTACTGTGCACAAGATAGTATAGACCGTATTCTACAGCGGAAACTATGACGGTGGCGGAACTGATCTTCAAACCCTTCGAAACCCTAATCTTTGATTTGAACCTGATCTCCACAAAGCCGAGGGAAGACTTCAACAATCACGAGCCCAAGGCTCTGATACCAGTTGTTGGGGTATCTATGAATAGCAAACCACAACCAAACAAGAACACACACAAAACAGAAATCAAAACGGAGAAAATGGAACACAAGATCTATAGTGGTTCGGTCGGCTGACCTAATCCACTTTGCAACTAGGGTTTTTATGATTCAGGTGCTCACAAAACTACAAGTACATAAATTGCTATTTATGAAGACTAAACTATGGTTAAAAACTTAATCCCCAAGTTAGGCCCAAGCCCACATAGAGAATTAGGTCCGGCTAAATTAAAAACCTAATTTACTGCCATATGGGTCGAACCAAGACTAGGGCCGGCTGCCCTTCTTGGTCGAGCCTCCACACTCAATTCGCCCAAGGCTCAAGAGTAGAGAGACTGTTCCAAGGGACCCATGGCTCAAACAATATAGATAAAACAAGATCACAGAGGACATATATAGCAAAGGTAACAAAAAGCACTCAGAGAAGCCAAGAACAAACTAATTAAATAAAACAAGAACAAGGCAAGCAAAGAACACCAAGAATACAAAACAAACAAAGCACACAACAAGTGGATAAACTACCACTAAGTCCAGAATACCTACCACGATTACCCTAATCCTAGCTCTCAAGACGCTCCTATCTAAGGTCATATCCTCAGTAAGGGCAAAAAGTCTTAGATCCAGACTAATCACCTTCTTCCAATTCTTCCTAGGTCTACCCCTTCCCCTTCTCCCAACACCAACGTAAGTTTTTTGCATCTCTGCACAACGGCGTCAGAACTCCTCCCCTCACATGCCCAAACAACCTCAGCCTAGCTTCCCGTAGCTTATCATCCACATGAGCCACACCTACCTGTCCTCGAATAACCTCGTTACGAATCCTATCCATCCTCATCTTCCCACTCATCCACCGCAGCATCCACATCTCAGGCACATGCAATTGATGAACATGAGTGTTCTTAAGTACCTAGCACTCTGCACCATATATCATAGCTAGCTTGACTTCGGACCGGTACAACTTACCTTTCATCTTAGCCAAAATCTTCTTATCACAAGATATAAATCTCTACTTAGTCCAAGCTGCTCCCACACGATGCACGACTTCTCTGTCCAACTCCTCAGCCAGCTGAATTATTGAGCCAAGATACTGAAAGTTGTCTACCTTCAACACTGGGCTTGAATCAATGCTAACTTCCACCCGTAATTCTGTCTCTCGGTCACTAAAACAACATTCCATGTATTTAGTTTTGGTTCACTAAGTTTGAATCCTTTAGATTCCACGGAACGACGTCAAAGTTCCAACTTGATTAGTCCCTAGCGGGTGTTGTCGATAAGCACAGTATCGTCAACAAAAAGCATCCCTTGAACTCCTTGCGTCAAGATGTCCATCACTAGAGCGAACAAGAAAGGGCTAAGGGCAGATATATGATGTAACCCCACCTCCACAGAGAAAAGAGTCCTAGAGAGTCTTTACCCTAGTCCTTGCCCCGCCGTACATATATTTGAATGCACGAATGTATGCAATCGTCACCCCTCTCACATCAATCGAGACACCTCCACAAGACCTCCCTCAACACCCTGTCGTACGCCTTCTCGGGGTCAATAAACATTATACAAAGATCCTTCTTCTTAACCCTATACTCTTTGATCGACTTCCACAAGAGGTGAATGACTTATGTGGTTGATCAACCACGCATGAAACCAAACAGGTTCTCAAAAAAGCAAACCATGGTTTTAAAAGGCGTTCGAGGCGGTAAGGCGGTGAGGCGGGCCTTTTAAGCCTCAGAGGCGTAAGCCTTGATAAGGGTATGTGAGGCGTACGCCTTGCCTGGCCAAGGCGGTACGAGGCAGTTGAGGCGGTGAGGCGAAACTGAGGCGGTAGCCTCTATTCAAATTAAAAATTCAGCACCTATGGGTTAAATGATACTCCATACAAAGGAATTGGGCCTTTAAAAAAAATCTTGGGCATTAGGTTTTTCTTAAAAACTTTTTACACTT